GCTAGCCTTTTCTGTCCACTGCCTGGGGCTCTGCTTACACACGCCTCTTCCTCCTCTCTCCCCTTCTCCTCTCCGCTCTCCTCCTTGGCTGGGGTCTCCTGGTCCTCATCCTCACTCTGTGTTTCCCTTTTGTGGTCACTCTCCACTTCTTTCTTCTTGGCTGAAGCGTCCTGGTCCTCATGCGCACTCTCTGTTTCCCTTTCACGGTGACTTTTGGCCCCTTTCTGCCCCCGCCCCTTCCTTCGCACCCTCAGGGCAAGGAGCTCCTCCTCACTGTCCTCACTCGCCCTCCTAGCTGAAGCCTTGGCTGCTGTTGGCTTCTTTGTGCCCGTTTTCTTCTGAGACCTGCCCCTAAACTCCTCTTCCTCCTTACTGCTGTCCACCACCCCATCCTCCAACTCCTGGTTTGCCGTCAGGGGCCCCTGCTGGGCATCCTCAGCCCTGCTTGCTTCCTCCACCCGCTTTGAGGTTCGCCTGGGACCCTTAGCCAACGACGGGCAGAATTCGGCTGCTGCCAGTCCGTTCTCTGCTGGGGAGCTGGTGCGGTCTGGGCTGGAGGCTGCAGAGCTGAGCCCTGGAAGACGAGAAGTTAAGGGATGGGGCTAGTTCTTCCTGTCCCTTTTCCAAAACCCTTCTCTGAGGGCAGGTTCCCTCTGGCCCGACTTTGGCAGAGTGAAGGGCAGCGAGAAATGGTTACCCGTCCACCCTGACCTGCCTCCTGACTCAACAGCCTCCCTTCAGAGTTTGTGCTCAATACTTTTGGGTAATCCAGCAACGCAGAAGGCACCGATGGCCGAGGGGTGGCGCTAACCTGACTCTGAATTGACGCGGAACCTCTTTCTCTCCCGGCCACTGGAGGAGGTGGGAGACCTCTCCGCCTTTTTCTTCAGGTCCAGCATTTTCTTGGTCCTGGCTTCATCCGCCTGTGTATGCACCAAGAGTAAGGTGACCAGATTTAAAGCGGGACACCATTGACCGGGAGTCGAGGGGGGTGTTCTTGATTAAAAACTTGTTCTATATGGACCAGACTGTTCCCTAGCTTGTCGTGCATTCTTTCCAAAAATCGGGACTTTTTTAAAACGTCAAAAATCGGGACGTCTGGTCACCTTAAACAGGGCAAAGCTTGGACCCAGGTGATGCCCTGCCTCAACCCCCGGTCCCTGGCGGGTGCCCATACCTGCATCTTCAGCAGCTCCTGCTCCACCAACCGTTTCAGCGCCCGCTTCTCCTCGGGCTCCAGGTGGTCACGGCCCACGTAAGCCTGGAACCTCCGCCGCACGATGGATTGTGTGAGCGTGCTGCGGGAACATGCGGTCACGGCCAGTGCCCAGCCCCGGCACCCCACCCCCCAGGCCGCCTCCGGCCCCCCGGGCACCTGAGGTCCGGCCGTCCTCGGAAGAGGCTACGGGTGAACTCCTGCATCTCGCTAAACCGCGCCATGGGCTCCACCGGGGATTGGCGGCTCCCGCCTTTTTCTCCTCTCGGCCTCCGTCGGCGCGTCGGACGGGGCGTGCACGCGCAGGGCCGCGGCGCCGGGGCCAGCCTGTGTCCGGGGCCCGGGTGCTGGACAGCGGAAGTTACCGGCCCAACCTTGCGCCCCACGCCCTCCCTGCCCCCGGCGGGTGGAGCACCCCGCGGCTTCTTCTCTTTGGTAGGACGTTCTCTTGGTAAAAGTTGTCGTTGAGAAACCGCCTCGGCCGCGGGCCCCGGGGATGTGACGCAATCAGCGCGCGCCGCTGCCTCGGCGGCATCGGGCCAGAACTTAACAGCCGCGCCGCTGCCGCGGCGCACGGCAGAGGAGGAAGGACGTCCGCGCAAGGAGACTAATCCCCGGGGGTGGGGCGGGGAGCGTCTTGGTGACTTCACATCTGCAAACAGTGTCAACCCGCCCCGGCGCCCTGGGGCTCGGCGACTAACCCCGTGGCCGCGGCGCCGTCGGGAGCGTGGCAACCCGCGGGGCCGGGCGTTTCCCGCGAGGGCCGCCGGCGCGTGCGCGCGCGCGGGGCGCGCCGGGAGTTGTAGTCCCGCGGCGGCCGCCCTCCCGACGGAGCCTCCGGAAGTCGAAAGCGCGTTGAGCCAGCCCAGGTAACGCGGTTCCCGGCGCTGGGGCGCTGCTCCGGCGGCCGGTCATGAACGGGCCGGCGGACGGCGAGGTGGACTACAAAAAGAAATATCGCAACCTGAAGCGGAAGCTCAAGTTTCTCATCTACGTGAGTCCCGGGGTGAAGAGGGGGTGCGGGGTGCGGAGGCCCCGTGCCC